ACAAAAGCAAAGCTCTGAGTCTTGAGAAGAGGTTACCAACGCATTTGTCTCATCCCTAATCTTTGCCCCCGGCCAGAAGAACCAGACACTTAACAGACAAGCCAGGCTGAGTGTTAAACACATCAGGAAATTATTCTCAATTTTGTAACTTATGATCATACTGTCACGTTTCACTGCAAAGCATTCTTTTGAGAAGTCTGACTATTGAGATGTAAGAGCTCCAGTGTTGGTAATGTCTTTGACAAGATTCAAAAATATGTAAGCCCCTTTTCCAAATTGTGGGGGATTTTCAACAGCCAAAAAAAAACCACTCCCAGCAAGAAGTAAGTTACTGAGTAGGGTTCATCAGTGAAAAAAACCAGAAAGCTGATTTTGCTGCCATGTCTTCTGACCTTAAGCTTGCTTCAAGAATCTAATGTTTTCTGCAAATTTCCAAACCGTTTATAGCCATGATCAAAAGCCTTAAAGATACCATCAAAAGTATATATGGTTTTAAAGCCTTTATTTTATTTTATTGAAAAGTGAGATTCACAGAGAATCATCCATCCATGTTGGTCCACTCCTCAAGTGGCTACAACGGCCGGAGCTGAGGTGGTCCCAAGTCAGGGCCCAGGAGCTTCTTCTCAGTCTCCCATGCAGTTGCAGGGTCCCAAGGCTTTAGGTCCCAGGCCATCCTTGACTGCTTTCCTAGGTCACAAGCAGGGAGCTGGATGGGAAGTGGAGCAGCAAGGACACAAACTGACGCCCACATGGGATCCTGGTGGCTGCAAGGTAAAGATTTAATCACTAGGTTTTTGCACTGGGCTCATGCAACAGCAGGGTAAGCTGCGGCAGCATCCCACATGGGCACTGACTCCCTGTAGGAGACTAGGAAGAACCTCAAAGTTCCTAGCTTTGGCTGATCCAACTCTGGCCACTGAAGCCATCTGAGGAGTGAAGCAGCGGACTGAGAATCTCTCTCTCTCTCTCTGCCTTCTTTCCTAGATCACAAGCAGGGAACTAGATGGAAAGCAGAGCAGCCAGGATATAAACCAGTGCCATATGGCATTCTTGCATCTGTGAGGGAAGGATTAGCCAATTAAACCATTGCACTGGGCCCCAGTGTATTTTTTTTTATAGAAAATATTTTGAGAAACCACCTTTCCTAAATTACCATATATTTAAGCGAAGTACTTTTTAAAAGATTTACTATTTTTATTGGAAGCCAGATAAACAGAGAGGAGGAGAGACAGAAAGATTTTCTGTTTGACAATTCACTCTCCAAGTGGCTGCGACAGCCAGAGCTGAGCCAATCCAAAGCCAGGATCCAGGAGTTTCTTCCAGGTCTCCCATGTGGGTGCCGGGTCCCAAGGCTTTGGGCCTTCTTCACCTTTTTTTCCAGGCCACAAGCAGGGAGCTGGATGGGAAGGGGGGCTGCCGGGATTAGAGCTAGCACCCATATGGGATCCTGGCACATGCAAGGTGAAGACTTTAGCCACTAGGCTACAACACTGGGCCCTAAGAGAAGTGTTTTGGTTTTTAGGCTAATTTTTATTGGAAAAGCAAATTTACAAAGAAATAGGAGAAACAGAGATCTTCCATTCATTGGTTTACTCCTCAAATGGTCTCAATGGCCATTTGAGCCAAATGAGCCGAACTGAAGCCAAGAGGGGCTTCTTCTGAGCCTCCCACATGGTTGCAGGGTTCTGAGGCTGAAGACCATCCTCCACTACTTTCCCAGGTCACAAGCAGGGAGCTGGATGGGAAATGGAGCAACCGACACAGGTACTGACCTCTACATGGGATGATGGAGCCAAAGGCAGAAGCTTAACCTACCTCATCACAGCACCAGCCCTGAGTTTCAGATTGACATGAAAAGTACACTAGAAGAAAAAGATCTTTGCTAAAATTAAGCACAATTTTAATGGCTGAAAGATTCTGATGTACTGCACTGATATTAAATACAGCAACTATTTAAATATCTGGGCTATGTAAATAAAACTAAGAGGAGCAGCACTGTGGTGCAGCAAGTTAAACCCCTGACATCCATGTGGGCATCTAATTTAGCCCTGGCTGCTCCACTTCTGATCCAGCTCCCCGTTAATGGAAAGCAGTGAAAATATGGCCCAGCTGCTTGGACCCCTACTCTCAGGTGGGAGACAGGGAAAAGCTCGGGCTCCTAACTTCAGACTGGCCCATCTGTGGCCATTACTATGTAGGGAGTGAATCGGCGATGCAAGGTCTCTCTGGGTCCCTCCCTCCCTCTGTACAACTCTGCCTTTCCAACAGAAATAGGACAAATCTTTAAAAAGAAAATCTTAACTATGTGGAGCCCACTTAAAAATTTTCTTTTATCTAAGGCTCAAATATGTGAATTTTCTCTGGAACTCCAGTTTAATATCACCAATTCCCTTGGTAAGCAACAGACCCTGCCTAGTTCTAAAACATATCTGAGAGTCGTCAACCATCAAACCGTTGGAAGACCACAATCCAGAGGAAGGATAGACAAATGTGAGGGACAATCCAGGCTAGTATGGCTTCCATAACCGAGCAAGACTATTAAGCTCGGAGCTTCCACTGTGGCAGTGACACAAAACCAACAACAACAAAAGGCAATCACAGCAAGCTGTGTAACTCCAGAGAAACCTTCTTCCTGGCTGAAAAGGGCTTTTTCAGATGAGCCATTACATAAGAACATGGAACAATGTAAGAGAAGGTCTCAGTGAAAGCAGCCGATGGCCCCAGGGCTACTTTCCCCTCAGGCTTTCCACACCGAGCCCAAATCCCAACAAAGGTAGCCCCTCTCCCCACCTGCCCCGGCTCCTGGCCCAAGGCGTTAGGATTCTCTGAATGAAAGCAGAACCTGGGGCCCCGGGCATCCATCAGCTGGCTTTCTGACAGGCAGGTTACAGAGCTGACTCTACACCGGTCTTGCTGTGAATCTGGTGCTCCTACCCTACAACGCTGGCTTTGGCAAGCAGATGGGGTGGCAGGAGAGGTGAAGAAGCTGTCGGGAATCCGGAAAGACGAGGCCTGTGTGTCCCAGGGACGGAGCCAACGACTGGGAGGTAGAACAGTCAAACCAAGAATCCGCGGGGATCAGAGCAGGACAGCTGTCCCTCATGGCCACTGCCGGTGCTGCTGTGTGCAAGGACGCTCGAGGGCCTGTCGGTACCTGCCTCGCAGGCAGCACAGCCCTTCCCCTGCATGAACCAGCACCAGGAGCCCAACACTCCCACCGCAACCCCACCTTCCCCCGCCACACACACACACACACACACACACACACACACACACACACACACTTTGCCATTTCACGATGCAGTCTATGAAGAATATCTAAAACACAGAGACCAGCGGACGCCGCGGGAACTGGGCCTGACGATCAGGGTTACTGCAGTAGTAGCTCCCTGGGGACCCACAGGAAGGACACCCCCTCTCTCGGAACACCAACCCTAGTCCTGCCCACAGGATCAAGGTGTACTTGCGAGGGGGAGGGGGAAAGATGAGTAGATTATTTTTTAGAGTAGCACACACAGCATTGTCACCTGCTTGAAAAGACCTTCAAGCCCCCTGTTGCCCAGCCCTGAGTCATTCCCCCTCCCAGCAATGTTGAGTGGCCAGGCTTGCAGGCAGAGGTGGGGCAATGGGGGGGAGGGGTAATTGCTCCCACCCCCCCTGACGTGGACCCGAGCGGGGCTTCCCTACGGGGCTCCTGCCCGCGGCTGGCGACGCCTCAGTGCGCCCTAGCCGGCCGCCGCTGCTACCTTGGCTAATGGCAGCACTGAATGAAAGGAGCCGAGGCAGGCTCCGGATTTATGAATGTACAGGGGAGGAGGGATATCATGTGACAATAAAGGAGAGTGTCTTATTCACAAAAAAAAAAAAAAAAAAAAAGCGGCTGGTGGCGGCGGGCACAGCTACAGAGCAGTGGCTGCAGCCGCGACCGCTCAGACCCCAGGCCAAAGCGCAGACGCTCCCGGGCCAGGGGCCCGCCGCGGTGGCACCCGCTGACTGGAAACCGCCTGAGGAGGAGGGGGTGTAAAGGCCCAGCCAGCCCGCGCCCCGGCCAGGCCGGAGGGAGCTGCACCTCGGCCGGAGGACGCCCACAGGCACGGGTCCCGCGCGCGGGCCGGCCGGGCGGCCCAGGAGCCCCCTCGGGCGGAGCGCCCCGGAGCATTGTTTCACATGGGCCCGCGGGCCGCGCACAGGCCCGGGCACGCGCGCACGCGAGCGCGCACACGCTCACATCCACTCCTCCCGCCACCCGCGCGCGGCGCGCAGCCCCGCACGCTCCCGCCCGCCCCCGCCGCACACGCCGCGGACCCGCCCCCCCCAGCTGCCCCATCCAGGGGGTGCGTGTGCCGGCCCACAAGCGCGCGCGCACACGCACACACACACACACACACACACACACACACTCGCTCTCCTTCACACTCGTAACGCGCAGGGGGCCACGGGCGGATCCGACCCGCGCGGGACCCAGGCGCGCCAGACCCCCGCGCCGCCCGCACCCTGTCTCGCCTCCCTCCGCCGTGTTTTTATGAATGAAAATGTGGTATGCAAATGAGAGCGATTCAAGAAAAACGAAATGGCGGAGCCTGGGCCGCGCTGGGCTCCGGAGGGGACCGCTGAGCCCGAGTCACAAAGTCACCGCGCAAAAGACCACCGACCCCGGGAAGCCCGAATAGGGGTGTCAGTTTTCCGCTCCCGCCGCAAGGATCTCGGGGTAGGATGGGTGGTGAGAGGCAGTGGGGACCGCCCCGAGGTCACCCGCTCGCCCTTGGCCCCCACGGCGGCCACCAGCCCTCCGACCCCAGGCGTGCCTCTGCCAGCCCGCGGCGATTCTCGCCCCCTCCTCAATTCCGTAGAAAATCTCGCGTCCCGACCCCGACGGATGAGCGAGTCGCGGCACCCCACTTGCCAAGTTCACCCAACAGCGTCCCCGCCCGCGTCCTGAGCCCCGGCCCCCACGCCGCCCCCGCGGGGCAACCCGCGTCCCACCCCGCGGCCAAACTTACTCGTCCGGGTGTGTTTCTTCGGTCATTTTCCTGTTCACCTAGACGCCTGTCCCGCAGCGGGCAGCTTTGCTCCCTTCATCTTCCTGTCCGCTCACCCCCCTTTTTTCACATCTCCAGAGATGGCCTGATTGGGGGTGGGGGGCCAGCGGCCGTAGACGAAGGGGGCGCCGCAAGCAGGAGGGGGAAGCAGGGCAGCCGGGGCGCGGGGTAAGGTGCGGGGCAGCGGCGCCGAGGCAAGCTGCAAGAGGAGGCAGCGGCCGCGGGCGAGGCGGGCGAGGCGGGCGAGGCGGGCGGGGGCTCCTGGGCGCGCGAGGGGCGGCGGGGCGAGATTGGGGCAGGGGACGGCGGCGGGCAGAGCTGGAGAAAAACAAGCGCGCCTCGGAGCGGCAGGACTCGCTGAGAGGAGGAGGAGCGGGCCGGCCGCCGGTGGGGGCAGGGTCCGGGGTCGCCCCCGGGGGTGGGGGGCGGACCAATCACGGTTCCGGGGAGCGGTCGGCGGCCGGGGGAGGTGCGCCTGGGAGGCGGTGCAGGGCGCCCCTTCCGAGCCCCATCTCTCCACTCCACCGATTTACTCCATATTGGATTCTCACAGCCGCCAACAGGAGGAGGAAGTAGGGCGGAAGCGATGACGTCTTCCCAGCGGCCAGAGGTGGTGGAGTGCAAAAAGCTTCCTACTTGCGAACGAGAAAAAAAAAAAAAAAAGGAGGAGAGAGAGAAAAAAAAACTTTGTCCCGCCTACTGAGCATGCCCGGCTTCCTTCCCCCTCCCTCCTGGCCTCCACTCCGGGAGGAGCGGCGGAGCGGAGTTTGCTCGGCCGACCGACTGGCTCCGAATCCTCGCTGGGCAAGGACTCCGGGTTTTAGAAAGCCCGCGAGGAGGGAGGAGGCGGGCGCGGGGGTTGGGGGTGACTCTCTCACATCTGGCTCCCGTTTTGTCCCTTTCCCTCCTTTCCAACGCCAGGATTAAAACTAGAGGGCGGGGAGGGAGATAGATGGTGCGGAGTTCCAGGGAGAGGACACCCGGGCTGACGAAGCCACGACTGCCCCCCGCCCGGGGTAACGGGCTGGGCGGCGCAGGTGGCAGCGCCTGGCCTCCGCACCCAGCCAACCAGAAACGGAGGGGAGGGGCGGGGTGCGCCTTTGCCAAGGTTCTGAATGGCAGAGGCTGTTCGGTTGCACGTGAACCTTGTGATCTTTTTTGTCTCGGCAGAGGAACGGGCGTTTCATAAATAGTGATTTTTTTTTCGTACGCAGAAAATGTTTTAAAGAGTGAACCCAAGACGCCCAAGGAACATTTCGCGGTAAAAGGCGATATATACTAAAATTCTCCAGTCACCCTTGTCTAGTTGATAGACGATTAGGCGATGGCTCTTAGGCCTCCAGAAGGCTGTGTAGTTTTGGGACCAGAGGCTGCTGCCCTGTGGGCTTTGACACAGGTAGATGGGATGCCCCTCACGGCCTTCCTCCCGTTTCCAGCCCCCACACCGCCTGCACAACTGTCTTAAAGGTCTCAGCAGCTGAGGCCAGCTGCAGGTTTTATCCGCAGGCAGCCCAGTCTGGGCAATGGGCGGGGCTGGCGTCCTGGGCATACAAACTGCAGTTGCAAAGTGAGCTGTGCTAGGTTTTGGACTCTCCTATTGCAGTCCTGAAATGATTTATCATTTTTGAGCAAGGGGCTCTGTATTTGCACTTTGCACTGGATCCCACAAAATAAACAGCCCTCAGGCACATCCTTGTGGAGTCCTGTCAGGGAGCAAGGGATGTCTCCACTACTTCCTGTTCTCCAAACAGTGTATTTCTCCGTCCTCCTGAATGTGCTATGGGAAAACCCACAGGGATTTTGATTAAATAAGTAACACTGAGCAAATTAAGAGAATATTAAATCTTTGCCTCAAATATGATATAGGAAATCAAATGCTCCTAAATCTGAAATTTTTTTCAACAAGGACAGGATAGCACAAGTGGGAAATGCCATGCTTTGAAACTTTTATGCATTAAACTGTTTAAAATATTCTGGAAGATTACCTTTAGACTATATGCATATGTATAGGGTGTATATGAAAGGTAAATGAATTTCTTATTTATTTTTATTGGAAAGCCAGATATACAGAGAGAAGGATCTTCTGTCCGATGATTCGCTGCAAGTAGCCAACTGCCGGTGCTGAGCAGATCCAAAGCCAGGAAACAGGAACTTCTTCCAGGTCTCCCATGTGGGTGCAGGGTCCCAAGGCTTTGGGCCATCCTCGACTGCTTTCCCAGACCACAAGCAGGGAGCTGGATGGGAAGTAGGGTTGCTGAGACACAAACTGGCACCCATATGGGATCCTGGCATGTTCAAGGCGAGGACGTTAGCCACTAGGCCACCGTGCTGGGCCCAAATTTCATGATTAAACTTGGTTTCTGCCCCAACCATACCTCATTATGCTGTCCTTAGTGCATTAGTGCGTGTACAAACCGGTATCCGCATGTGGAGAATCACGCATATCCAAAAGATGGTTTCACCCTAAGACCCCAGGGAAAGCCGTGGGTGGGTTGGTCTCTGCCCCAGGCTCAGCACAGCTGTGTTCTTGGTGGACCTGGGGGAGGGTTCACCACCTTCGATGCTGAGTGCTGGAGGCTGGGACCTAGAGGGCACAGGTGGCATGGGACACATGGCTTGGGGATCTGCTCTAAGACCCCAACAGAGGCTTTTAACAACCCTTCAGTTTCTTTATGAAACAGGGACAAGAAGGGCTGACTCTGTCTTTCTGCATTTTGGAGGCCAGTAAGGCTGAGAGAGAAGACGCTGAACAAAGCCAAGATTTCATTGTCTTCTAAATGTCTACTGTGGTTTCTCCTTACTGGGAGAAAAAAACAAAAGTCATTCGGTCTTTCCTAAACTTGCAGGAACACAGGCACTCGTCAAAATTAGCTGCCCAAAGGGCATCTCTGGGGCTTCACCCTGCAGTGTGGCAAGTGAGGTGTGCAGGCAGGTGAGCTGTGTTGCCACTCTGTCACCTCTCAGCCAGTTATGACTGGCAGCTTCAGACCAGGCAGCCAGGGGAACAATGGAAGACATTGAAAGGTCCAGGAGTCACCAAGTCCCTGCCAGGTCTCCTGGTGCCTTAGATACTGAGTGATGCACTCATCTGTTAGTATCTAAGTGCTGTCACAATAATACCCACAACACAGGATTACTGGGAAGGTTAAATGCACTCTGCAGAGAAGATACTGCACTGGGCACGCTGCAAAGATCAGATTCCTGGCAACTCTTTCCTGTCTCTAGATAGTGAGATTAGCAAAGGCTCCCCTTGGGCTCCCTGGCCTTCGTGTTCCTCTAAATAAAGCCTTCTGATTCTTTTTCTGCCACTCCAAAATGGCCTTTTGATGGAAACGCTAGTAGCAGGTGACCTTATGGTCCTCCCCCGCGAGATCTGACTCCTGGAAACTAGAAACTGGGGACCCTGGGCAAATATTATGACATGCGTATTGATCCAAGGATCAGGGCAGTATGAGTCTACTGGATTGTTCCCGCAACAGAGGATAGCACGGATTTAGGGCTTTAACTTAATAACTGCTGAAAGAGAGAAGGACTCCCCGGTGTCTGCCCACAGCCAGCCAAACAGAAGGCAGGCAGCCCTGAACACTCAGAGCGAGATGTTCACGCTTCAAATGTAGTATCGATCCGCTCACAACTTCACGCAAAACTAGCGGAGCTCTAAGCGGGACCCCCTTTTCCTCCCCCCACCCCCGCCTACCGGCCTCTCCGAGCGGAATCCCGGGCGGGGCGGCGGCACCCCTCCCGCGCCCTTCCCGCCAGCCGCCCGGAAAGCCCGGAGCGCGGAGCCGGAGCGACCCTCGGCGGCTCCGGGACGGGCATGCTCAGTAGACCCGCAGGTCCAGTTTCACTGGGAAGCCGGCCGCGGCCCCGGCCCCTTCCCGCCCCGCTCGGGCGCCGGGAAAAACGGTCATCTTAACCTCCTCTGCAAACCCGCCCTCTCGCTCGCGTCCTCCGGTCCGGAGCCGGCAGGAGTGCACGTCCCCAGGGGTGGGATCTGATAAGTCAGCCTCGCGTCCCCAACCTCCAGGGGCGGGGAGGGGGTGACTTGGAGAGGAGCCGGTGTCCTGCACCCTCCCCGCCGGGCGCGCGCAGCTGCGTCGGGGCCTGTCCTCGCCTCACCCCCACTCTGCCCCTTCGCTGTTTCTCAATGACCGGCGCTCCCGGGACACTTCCGACGCGCGAGGGAGGAGGAGGAGGAGGGTGTCATTAGCGCTGGGTTTATCAGTTCCTTCCGGTCTGTCGCGGGCCTGGCTCTGGGCGCCGCCGGGCCGCGCCTTGGGCGCTCTGGAGCCTGCACGCTGATGTTTAAATAAGCCGTCGTGTGTGCCGCGCTGTGCCGAGTGACTTTGTAGCCTGGCTGTCTTCCCACAGCACCGCCGGACTGGAACGGAAAGCCCAGAACGCTCTCGTAACCAAGCTCAGGCTGCAAACTTAGACGCTGCCCGGGCGCCTGGCAAAGCTGCCCCCCGGCCCTAGCTCCCGGCATGAATGGCTGCAGACGGGTTGCATAATCTGCGTTGGTATAAATAGCCGGCGGACGGGCCGCTGCCACACTCGATCCTACCGTTACAGTGCAACACTTCACTCTCAGGGCCGCCCTCCTTTCCGCTGCCACGCCACGGGTTTTAAATCGCGGCGACGTGAGGCCCGGGCGCCCGCCTCTCTTCCCCGAGGCCAAGTGTTATGAATGAAGCAGCTACCGGACGTTGGGTGCGCGATGGGGAGGCGCAGACAGCGGGAAACCAGTGGGTTTGCCTCTGCAGTTTCAGTTTACAACCGTGCAACCTCTGTGGATTTCAGAATGGATTATGCAAAGTGTCTTTCGACTGCCAGCTCGCTCCCCAGCCGTCTGGGGCCACTTGTCCTAGGGCAAAGTGCTGTTTCATTCAGAGGAGCTACGGCCTGCCCTCCGCGGGCCCTTGAGGACCTGCAGAAAAGCCAGCGCCGGCTGGCGTCACTAGAGCCATTTCTGAGTTCTGCCATTCTTCCCACAAGCCTCAGCAGCCCCCAAAGCAGAATCCGTTGGAAAAAAAAATTACTGTTTCCAAGTGTATTTCACAAATACGCGGTCAATGTAAAAATCAAGTATGCCAAAGTCCTTTGCATTTTTTCATTTTAAATAAATTCGTGCCGTCGGGGGCGCCCAGGTCACTATCGGATCGAACACCCTTTCCTCCCCTCTCGGTGATAGAAGTGCCAGGTGCTTTTTGAAGCGAGAGGGGGATCCTGAAGTGAAGGAATCCACGTTCCTGCCCTCTAGGGGCGCAGTCACGTGGGACTGCCGGTTAAGAACGCCGAAGAACAACAAAAGGAAAGGGAGGCTGCCCCGGGGCAGGCGGTTTGAGCTCCGCCTTGAGGGCTGACAAGTGGTGGAGATGCCCTAACACAAAGGGAGACTAGAGAACCCCGTCGGTCTCTAAGGCCCTAAGGGAGAGAATCCCCCCACAAGCTTGCTTGCTTGCTTTCTCTCACGGTCTCTTTCTCTCTTTATTTTTCTTAATCTTACATTTGAAAATCAAAAAATGGGTTAGGG